TCAGGTTATCCTCTGTCGAAGCTCAGATGCTGGCACAAGATCGGAAAAGTTGGAGACACAGTCTGGCGATTCTGTTTCCAGCAACTGTTAAATAAACGGCCGACGAAACTGACTAACTATTGAACAGGTTTGTCGAACCCTAACGTATCAGATGAATCATGATGAAGGTGAGATTAAGCAGTAGAAGAATTATATCATTGAATTTTTCGTTTTCTCATGGATACAGGGTTCCGAACGCAGAATTGGATAAGAATTCACAGGAGAGGTTTTCTTATATCATTACGGCGAAATAGCATGACTGTGGCAGTCAGAACTTCGCCCATTTTCTATCACTGTGTGATTGTGTGATACATGTATTATTTGAAGTATGCCTATTATATGATGGTTTATCCTTTATATCGTTCAGTCGATATACCAAAATGTCGTCCGATCGCTTCATTATCTTTAGCTCGAGTGAAATTCTTCTTGGAAAAAACGTTCTACAATTTGACGGTCGTCGCAAGCCATGACTGGGAGACGTATGCAAATCTGCGGCAGGTGGCGAACGAAAAGTTTGGTGTTTGCCTTCTGGAGCCTGGACTGCCGTGGAAGACCGTCGACCAGAGTCTGGACATCACAGAGGTTATGCGAAACATGGATTTGTTCGTTTCGTCGTACAACTACAACCTCAATAACCAGGTAACGATTTTTTGTCTTACGTCGTGCATTGCTCACCTCACATGCCTTTTCAAACAGATATTCATCGAGAAGAACAGCAAAACGAAGTCGCTGAACGTGCTGACGATCGATCAGGTAGCGAATAGCATACGCACGCATGGCACCGGTATCATGAACACAACGGTATGACATGTGCATACTATATTCCCTCTGATTCTTATTTTCAGGTGAATTTTGTCTATCAGCTGCTGTTGAAAAAATTTTATTTATTTTCGCAGTTTCTCTTCCACAACGGCATTAAATCACGACTGATTAAGGTAAGTGAATTCATTGTTTTTTCTTTTTGAACGAAGGTATTTTGCTACTTTCCAAGGTCCTCTCTCTCATGGAATGGCGGTAACCTATGAAGTGTGCAATAGCATAATTGGATGAAAAATGGTGTAAATTTTTTGCCTCTACGGCAGCGATTAATGCGTGTCATGAGCCTTTAGGTAGTCTGCAGAAGCAGTAGCATAGAAATATGAGGGTATGAAGTTCCTTTTCCTGTTAACTCACTGTTATGTCCATTATGAGCTGTTATGCTATCCTCTGCATGAACATCTGCTATGGGTAGCAGTTCGACATTTAGTCTGCAACTGCATAGCGTCAGAATGTATCATCTCCAACAGCATGCAGAAACGCTGTCAAACGAATCATCTGAAAACACTCCGCCACTGTTCGCAGCAAGTCACTGTTCTTCACGTACTTCTGCTAGAGAAAGACAGGAAAACTTTCAATCGTGTGATCGTTTCGTTTGTGCTTAATGAAATATTTTGTTTCATTTGTAACGAAACATGTAAGCTAGACCTTCTGCTTGTTATCACATGCCTTAAATTCATGTTCATTTTTCGCAGTTTATTCATGGTCTGTGCTCCATCTTAGCTGTTTCGGTAGGTGTAATTTGCAATAGCAATGCTGTTCGCTGACCTTTAGCATGGTAGATCGTCTGTGACCCACCGCATCGATGTGCGAACGGATAGAAAAGTGGTCTACTTCTCAGCGCATTAAGTTGGATCCCGTCACCGTTGTAAGATGTGAAGCATGTGTCCGAACTGCGTTTTTGTTTTAAACTCAAACCGTATCTTCTGTGATGATTATGTCAAGCAACTTTTGGGTAAGAAGGTCGCTTTACCCTACCTCGTTTCTGATTTCGAATCAGTTCAAAAGCATGACAGAGCGTTAATGGTACCGTTCGCAATACGGCATAATTGCACGGTGTTTCGCGTCAAGAAATGTTGAATTGTTTCAAGTGAGTTGGTATTTGCAGCAGTACTGCTGTGATCATGCAGAGCGACAGCATACGGTATAAGTAGCCCTTGATGAAGCTTGCCTACTCGTATTTAGACTGTTTCGTTGTTTTGATTTTCTGTCAGAACTTAATGACACTGGATGTTATGCTGTTCTGATTTTATGTCAGGAGTTAATGACACTAGGTTTTATATTGTTTTCATTTCTGGCCTTACCTACCATCATAAGTGCCACAGCTATTAGTTCGGAACTGCTCCGGTCAGAGTAGTAACTAGTCGTATGTAAACCGAGGACTCTGACTAGTCAGACGATCTTTCCAGTGGTCAGAATCCTGAATCTGGATTATTCAACAGTTTAGAAGATTGGAGAATGGAGGATTTTAACGAAATGGTATTCCTCATACGATGCGGTACATATCCCATGTTATGTTTTCTTTCCACTCTCCGGTATGCTCGCTGTTCATGTGAGGATCACTTCGCACAACTGTTTTGTGAAAGTCAGTCATATGCTTGGAATTTATCCAGTCATGCAGTTGAATATAATGTGAACGGTGTGTTGGATGGATAGGTGAATATCCGTGTGTAAGAAGAAGTAGGAGATTGTATCCACTGTTTGTGAAGTAAAACTAGAAGCTTTACTAGTTTAAAAAAGTAGTACTGCTTTCTGAAGAAACGGAAATCAGCATCAAGCCACAACCTTTATGAAAGAAATTCATCGCGAAGAGCGAATTTGCGAACAAAGGTACGATGTGACTAGCCATTATGCACTTTCTTCCCACTTGTCATATGGAATGCAACTTTTTTTCTTATGTAAGAAAAAACTACGCGTAAAGTTTTGTTTGCAAACGTGGTTGGTTTGTGACCGAGAAATTAGTAAACTTACTTCCCGCATTTTGGTTTTAGTATACGTTTTTCTTGTTGAGAAACGGTGCTTTCTGTTCATGAATTTCGAGTAAAACTAAAAGGGATTATTATGGATACTGAGACGTTGGTCTTTGGTTAATTGGTACAGACGTTAACACAGAATATTCAGGGGATTGTTACTTCCGTTACCATTGTTTCTGGATTAGTGGCTTTAGCTTTTCTTCTAACTGCATTTCTGTTTAAAGCTATTTTCGATGCAGACATGCCGTATACCCCTGATGAAAAAGCTGTTTTCTCATTTTGATTGTGCTTATCGTTTCCCGCTTTTTAGGAAATACGATATTTTCGAGAACACAAAGGAAATTTTGAATCTTTGGTAAAATATTTAAACTTGATTACATATTTTACTCTCTTGTCAATTCAGTACCCGTACGAACGTGCCGAACGTTTCAACACTGGCATGAAGAAGCTCGGTTTTAACGCTAATGGCCAGAGCTACATGGATCAGTTTCGCACGTTGATAACTCAGATAGGTAAACCCGATGCGCTTCTTTTATGAACTTGCCCTTGTTCCGTTTTGGTTTATTTTTAAATCTGGAAGTATAACAGTCAGCCGATTCCTAGTTTTGTCACACCTCTAACTAACTTATGATTCTCGCTTACCTTAGGGGTTGCGCTGATTGCAGATTGTTTGCTTTCAGCGTGGACAAAATAAGATTTGTCGCCTCTAGAAATGAACTCATTATTTCCTACAGTTGTCCTCCAGATTTTCCAGCTATATGAATTTGGCGGACATCCGTCTACAAACAACTGTTAAGTTCGTAGCATATCTAAAAGCAAAGAAGGCCCATGTTATGAATCGCTTGCCCTCGGGAGCTGGTAAGGACGGAAAGCCACCATGCTCTTTTTCATCATATACGAACCTTCAAACATCTCTGCAGAACTGAAGTGTGGGGTAGCTGTCTGTATATTAAACGGGACAGGCATCCGATTGCAACAGCTCTCAGCGTCACGCCTCTACTCTGTGCAAGAAAACCGTTCTACTGAACCATCATGCGTGGGCTGTTGATTGGTCGCCAAAATCTGATTAGCCTCCGGACTGAGCTAATCTTGACCTGACTAAATTTTCTCGCTTCACAGAATCACTGAGCAGCGTCATCGATCCCTTTTCCCTAGTTTTCAACGTTACTTTGCGTTTGATTCTTTCTTTTAGCGATTTTTGTAAGTTCCTTAAGATCCTGTGGGATACATGCGCATTGTTTCCGTTTTGGGACAAATATATGAAGCAATCAGGTCTGCTGTTTAGGTCCTGGAGAACATTTTACTCTAGGGCTGTGCTGAGTCTGGTAAAAAGACGAGGGTTTTATTTTATAGTAGAGGCACTGTGTAGTATATCCGACAACTATCATACTTACTCTGAATACCTAGATAATGTTCTTCTGATGAGTAGTACAGGAACGCTCAGAGATTAAATGTTATGAGGAAGTGACCTGGCGCAACGCGTCCATCATTACAAGATTATTCGTATTCCACCAGAAGTTCTTCGTCTCCTTCGTTCCAAACTATGGCACTGCCAACTGGACTTAAATGGGAGGGCCGCTAGTGTTTTCAAATCGTTCTTGTACGCAGTGCCGTATCTGTTCTGAAAAAGAAATATCCTTTTTCTTGGAAGCCTCTGTGTCTTGCAGCGGTTGTTGGTATTGTTACGTGGCGTAAAGACTTTAGTTCTACAGTAAGACTAAGAACGGCAGTTGAACAAACGTCGGCACGCTTTGTTTACAGGTGAGGTTTAGAATGTAGGTCCATCTAAGATATGTTCTGCTTCAAGTACACTTATTCAGAGTATAAATGGATACTAGTGAATGTTTTGTGAATTTTCCAGGGGTTTAAGTATATGCGTTGACTGTATTGACTGTACACAAATTCGAATGTGTTAAAATTTCGTGAAAAATAGCGAGTATAGCGAGTATAGCGAGCGAGGATTCACACTTCTGCGCCTTGGTAAAATCATCAGAGAAACTTGCTAAAAATCGCTGACGTGTTTATAATAATAATCACGGTGTTCCTGTGTAGCCATGCCAGATTGTCTAAGTCAGGATCATGCTGTATGACGAAAATTAATTCACATTCACCTACATGATCGTTGAGTCAGTGTGTGCAAGGTGTAGCTTATATCATCTAGCAAGCAATGTAATTTTCAGTGTAGCCCAATGAGGCAGTCGTTTGTACTGCAACTGCTTGCACTGCATTGTGTAATGTCCTTATGATGAACTTTACTCTGTCACCGTTGCTATATGCCACTTGATTCTCTCTCTCTCTCTCTCTCTCTCTCTCTCTCTCTCTCTCTCTCTCTCTCTTTCTCTCTCTCCGTTATCCTTGTAAATGTTTCTGTGTTTGAGGCTCGTTTAGTGTTTAGAAATTGAAGTCTTTCTGCCTTTATTCAAATAATTGACTTAATTAACTAACTTAGACGACAGTGTCGTATGACTTTGTTGTAAGTTTTACGTTTCGATGCTCTTATAATTTATCAGCAAATAGTTGTTCTTTCATTTTGAAACTTTTCTGCCATCTGTGCTGTTGGTCGGTGTTCAGTTTTGCTTTTTGTTAGGAAATTCACTCGGCTACGTGCGTCTGGTTCGCTCAGGTGGAATCGAGGCGTGCTTCCGCGCTGTTCAGTTTTTTCCTGACTTAGAGGAAATCGCGTCTTTCGAGTCAATGTGTAAAGAACTTCAATTCAGTGCCGAGACTTGCTGTGCGGCGGCGTCTTTCGACGCTTTGGTTTCTGAACTGGTTCAGAAGTGTTCTGACAGTTCTGAGTATTTCAAGGTAGGACGGTGTCTTTCTCCTTCTCGTATCAGCACCCATCCATACCTTTCTCCACGGGTACACGGCTGTAAAGCTTGACCTTTCCCATTCACTTTGAAACTAATTTACACAAAAGCTGACGAAGATTAGAGATGGAATTTTTTAGATTATTCCCATTTAATGAGGAGCATCTGCAGCTGTTTTTTTTTGCGACAAAGAAGTCAGAATTTACATTAATAAAGAACTCACCTGGTATGCTCTAATTTGTCTGTTAGCAACCATTTATTATTCTGATTACTTGCTAAAATTTGAACCCATGAGGCTGTTATGCTGTTATCATCTCTACGCCCATGACGCCTGATCTATGTGTGTGTTACTCAGTCCATCTGCTCGTCAGGAATACAATTTAACGACGTTTTCAGCGTGTAGGAAAAGGTTTGCAGCAAAACGACTGCGCGATCCGCATGGTATGACTTTTGTTTGAAGCAACAATCAGCTATGTTCTGCAGGTCTTGGAGAAGGCTGGACATGGCTTCGAAAACCTTCAAAACGCTTGTCATTTCTTCGGTGCAAAATACATTCTAAGTAAGAGGACGATAACCAAACTGTCTTGAGTTGTGGAGAGCACTTTTTTCACGTTCGAAGGCGGCCGGTTATCGTCTCATTCTCGCAGTCAACCAAAGCTACGACCGCGACACAGAACGTTGGCTGGAGGAGAAGTCAGGATGATCAAGGCAGCCAGAAATGGTGACCGACTTTCAGTTGTGTTCCAAGGAGTACGACGGCTACCGATAAGCAGAGAGCTCTGTCCGTCCTTGTCCAAGCCGTTTAGGGTGTCTCATTTATCAGATCGGTAAGGATGCCTCAAATTATGGGTTGAGCATTTCCTGTTGCTGTTTAAAACTGCCCACCATATTCGTTTTCTTCAACCGTTAATTGTCTGCGAACACTACCAGCAAAGCTGAAAATTCAAAAATCCTTGTAAAGAAGGTCTGTGTTGCCCATCGAATTGCTCTGGAATTAATTAGTTGTAGACCAGCGGTAGTGGTTAACATGCTCCATGTCATACTTCATCAAATATACTTCGCTGGAACATGGAAGTGTGGCACGTCTGTGCTCCTGGGTTTAAAGATTTACTGACGAATGTGTCCCGTTTATCAAGATATCACACTATTCCGAACTCCGATTAATGTTTTTCTTGGAGTGTCCTAGAAAAGCTGAGGAAGACAGTCGATAACAGACCACTAAATTCAGGCAGGATTTTGAATAGGGTATTTGTGCTCTGCTCAAATTTTCAATCCTCTATGATCCTTTAGCAGTGGCGGCGATTCTTTTGCTTTGGTCTGCTATTTTCCATGTCTTCAGGGCTGTCAGGTTTGATCACCACATACTTTCAGGTCGCCGAGGCACCGTCGTTACTTATTTTCTCCACTGTTCCCGTATTTGTGTCAGTGTCTCAGCTTCCGTACAAGAAAGCGCTGTTCTGGACCACAGTCTGTCGACGACCTGCATCAAATCATTCTTGGCCGTGCCCGGGGTATTTGACCTTTCGACCGAGTAACTAAAAATTCATTTTGTCGACCGCAAGCATTTCAGTACATGCCTGAACCCTCGCTGCCATGACTTCTTAGTGTGAAGAGACACCCCCTATACACTAAGATTCTCTCTCGCTAATCCGAACCTCCAACTTTGCCGAGACGCATGGACCCAACGATTCCACCCAGAAAGCCCATGTCGGCTTCTTGTTCACGAGATCGAAGTTTTTCAGCCACAGCCCACGACTCATGACCGAGCATCGGGTGACGAATCGATTTGGCCACCGGGAGCTTAGTCTTCAGACCCAGCTCTGCTTTAGTCACAACGGTTTTGGTTGGTGGGCACAGAACGCCGTTATCCATTTCGATTCGCCTGTCGAGCCCTTACTCCCATTTTTCCTCACCAGTAAATTCGAACCCGAGGTATGTAAACTTCTCGACATGTTCCACTGCTTCTTTGTTGATCTGCGGAGCGAGAGGGACAAGACCGCGAGAAAATACTAAGCTTTTCTCATTAGATACTTTCACACGCATCCCGGTCACGTCGCACTCGTCTGCGAACTATTCCAGATAGTTCTGGTGATCAGTTGCAGAAGATGCCAACAAGATCGTCTGCAAACAGCAGATTTCTCGTCCCTAAACTCTTACACTCGCCACAATTGACACTCAACATGATAATGCCCTGATAATTGGGGCAGTTCCTGTGATCTCCCTTGTTGAATAGACATACTGCCGTCCCGGATCTTGATTTCAATCGTGTTTCCTCAGTAACCATTCCATTTTGACAGGCATACGTGTTAGCCTCAACGTGGCTTGCTCGCCTTAATCTTTAAGCATCGCAAGGCGTGTTTCGTCGATTGACCTTTCACAACTTTTGTGATTTCCCATATGAAAATACTGATGTCCATTGCCTGTTAATGTTCTTCGAGTCTTCTTACGGTTTCTCGAATTAAACAGTTGCTCCAAGTTCTTTCTCCATCGCTGACGTATATCCTCTTCGGCGGTACGAATGAGTCCGTACTTGCCCTTTATGACTCTCATGTTGCCATTCTTTCCATCTCGGAGGCTAAAAATGATCTGCCGGAAAACCTTGTTTGGTGTTTCGAAATTCGATTCAATCAATCACCTTAGCAAGTTTCTCGCAACCGTCATCTGTCCCTTTTGTCACCGCTTTAGTCGCTCCTTGCACATGCATCTTAGTACTACATGTGAATTGAAAGCTCTTTGCTTCCAAGCCATTTCTTGAATGGAGGCTTCTTCTCTTTGACTGCCAGTTATACTTCTTGTGTCCACCAGGAGGTTCTTCTCTGACGTCCATGCGGCAGGCCGACCCGTTTGAATCTGCAGCATTTGGCAGCAACCTCGAGTATGCCGTTCTTAAAGAGCTGCCACTCGGTTTCAACATCAGTTGTCATCGCTGGGATCTGTTCAAACCGTCGTGCGATGTTGTTTGCAAATTTCGCTGTCGTGTCCACCGAGGACAATGTTTCCTATTTGATTGTCCGGTTGCTTCTGCCACCGGAACTTCCTACGGTACTCCATTTCTTACATCGCAGCGTGCCAACAACAAGGTGGTGATCGGTTGATAGCTCTGCACCTCTCTTAACACGAACATCCATTACTGGGCGTCTTAGGTCAGACGATACGATTATCAAATCGATCATCGACTTTGTGCGTAAACCTCTCTTTGCGAGGTATACTGATTTCACGCTTCGATGCTCGAAGAAGGTATTCATAATGGACAGTCCGTTGTTTGCACAACAGTAACAACTTCATGTCATTATTGTTGAGGTCGCTAGAACCGTTTTTTCCAATCACACCTTTCGCTTTTCAGTGTCTGCGCGGACATGTACATTATAATTGCTCATTAGAATGAGGGACTGCATTATCGGCACTTCGAACAGTGCAAATTCCGCTTCCTCATGGAATGACTCATAATTCTTCCTTTAAATTGGGCGCATAATCCTTTAGCAATGTCAGTGCTTTAGCCAGTTTGCAGCGACACTCGGAGGATTGTCCCTCTTCCGCTAATAGGCTTCGATTCAATGATTATGTCAGCCAAGTTGAGTTCTACCAGAACAACAACACCAGCCTGAGCGCGCGTTGTGATGTCGACACCTGAGAAGAATTGCTTCCACCCCCGGAGGTTCAGAGTTCCAAAGATTGACGCTTCGTTAGAGTCCAGCTGTGTCGAATTGGCACCTTATGGCTTTCTCAACTAGTTCCTGCTCTTTTCCTCTGAGTGAAAATATATTCCACCTTCCGACTGTAAGCTCCCACGTACCGTGTCGTTTCCATAGAGCCTTTTCTGTCGTGCTATGA